AACCTCATAAAAGAAATTCCGTGGCAAAAAAATAGTTAACGTAATGGAAAAGGAAGGAGAATTCAACCCCATTCGTTTCACTAAAAGTAATTACAGTGCGAAAGGAAAGGAAGAAAAAAAAGAAGAGAAATTTTTTCCGCGATTATTGTAACTCCAAATAATTAGAATGTGTGCGTTATTTTACACAACAACAGTGACAGATGTTGCAATTTTGCAACTTCATTCCGAATAATTACGAAAACAACAATATTTTGCACAAAACAGAAAAAGACTGTTTCCACAATTTAATAAAATTCGAATTAATTATAAGTCTGGAAATATTTTGCAACACAAGAAATAAATTTTTTTAAGTCGATTAATGTCATTCTAAATAATTAAAAAGGAGGAAGAATTTTGCACAGGAACCAAATTAATTGTTTACCCAATTCCATGTAATTCCAATTAATGATAAAACAAAGAAGATTTTGGGAACTAAAAAAAGGAGGTGTTTAACATGATTAGTGTCATTCGAATAAATTAAGACGAACAAAATCTTTAGCGACTCAGCAGGAGGAAGGGTTTAGCGAGATTAGTGTTATTTCAAATCTTCCAATAGCAAAAAATAATGAGTCCGAAAAAGGAAATTAGGACTATCTCTTCCAGAAAGCCTAGAAAGCCAAGGAATTCCCAGCCAAGAAATCGACTCCCAAAGCTAACAGACAATGAATTGAGCAGTATGATGTGTATCCAAGTAACAAAAGAGGGTCTTCGACTCAAAGAACCAGAGATTACCTTCCCTTTCCCACTGTGGCTGGATCAAAAAAACCAGGGGAAAGTATCTGACCAAGTAACAGAAGATCAGATCTCCCCCTCGAAGGTTAGTCAAGGTAATTGTCAAGAAGAGAGTGAGACAAACAGGAGTAATGAATCAGTCAATTTCTCTGATAGGAGAAATTTGACAAGCAGTGGTTACTGCCTCTAGGGGAGGAGGAAGTATATCCCACGAGAACTATTATTTCAAGAAGTTAGAAGGAAGCATTTGACACGATGAAAAGAAAAACAAGAAGTATTCCACTTGTACCTTTATTTTAGAATTATCCCGAAGAGTCCTTAATTATCCTAACAAGAAATGGCAGGATAGAATTTCTTATGTTGCATATTTTATTGACATCGAACAGCCTAAACCGTCTTAAAAGTAGACTGATGACTAATCTCCTAACGAACCCACCTCTAAGAGGGGATATGCTCTTTTATTTCTTACAAATGGTGACTGATTTTATAGTGAGCTCATAACGTATACCTGTACATTACAGTGATAATTTTGTAGTTGTGTCCAATGTTTGTCCATATGAATAGATATTTCGTTATGCATGTTTTAAACAGCTAAAGGAGCAACTTGTTTCATGAAAATATGTTTAACACACATGGAAGATAGGATTACCCTTCGATAAATAATAATGATGCCTTTGAAATTATATGTTCGGCCTATTTTTAGCATTAATTTAGTAAGGTGTGTCTATGTAGGTTTAATAATGGGATGCCTAACTTTATATATTAAAAAAGATTGGTACTTATGGCAGCCACCTCAAATATCATGAGGGATGTGTATAATCCAGAGGGTCTGATATGTAAACGAATGTGTGTGACTTCTTCCTATGTATCCAAAACTGAATGCTGGATATATATGCCTATGTGGAGGTATATGAATATAAACCTAGAAATTGTAGGGGCATAATTAAATGCTCGAATGTTATCTAAGTTGTGGAAGATTGTGATAATGGGTCACACTCCCCCTAATATGAGGCAGTAAGTATTCTACCCCATGAAGCTACTGTCTATTAGGATATAATATTTTGTCCACCCTAGGATGACCTTCCTTCCATAGATTAGTTCTGCCCCGAACAATATGTAATGTGTTCTAAGGAGTTTAGATTTAGTCTACATTGTGTTAGAATGTGTACCATCTTCCGTTTTATTAGTCTATTTTTGTTTCCATTATTAGTGAATCAACCCATGTATGGTTGTTAGTAGACTAAGATTGACCCAGGTGGGAAAGTCAATAGAACCATTCTAACCCCATAATTATAGAGGAGGAAGCGTCTTAGACAAGGAAGAATTGATCTATGAGTCAGTCTAGGAAATGGACCAACTTTGAC